CAAATCACAGCTCACTGGCCAATCACTGCTCACTGCAGCAGCACCTACCTGACTATGGTTTAAGTTAAAGCAAGCCTAGAGCTTTAACTTGGTGTACATTTCATGAGACTGTTTGAAGGAAGACTGTTCTTCCTTTCACACAACTCTTCCTCAGCCCGTTCTTACATCTCCACTTACACTTTTCTCCTCTGTACATTTGCTGTGGATTTACTTAAACATTGCACAGTATGTTGTGTTTTTGGTGAGATCTCAAGATAAAGGGATCTTGAGGGGAAAAAAAATATGTTTCCTGTTCACCAGTCATAAATCATTACTTTTCCCCTTGATTTGTGGATTCATTTTTCATAGACATCTCCTAGAAGTGAGCTAGAAGACAGAGGAAAAAATCTTCTGAGTTCTGGGAACCTTGTTGTGACCCTCCCAGAGTTCAAGAAGTGTTTGGACGATACTCTTGGGTACATGGTGTGACTCTTGGGGATGGACCCATGCAAGGTTAAGAGTTGGACTCGATGATCCTTGTGGATTTCCAACTCAGCATATTCTGTGATTCTGTGAGAAGCAGTAACTGTGAGGTAGCAGAACAACACTCAAAAAATACAGAGGCTTCTAGTAAACTGAGAAACACAGAAGGGTTGGTGGAAGCAGATGCATGAGGTAGGCAATCCAATTCTGCAGGCTGGTAGGAGCTGGAGAAATAATAGAAGTGAACAAGGGCAGTAGAAAAGCCAGTAGTCAGTCTAATGCATGCATTAGGATGTCTGTAGGTTATTTCTACAGTGGGTTACTCTTACTCCAGACTGCTAATAATATGCCCACAAGGCAGAGAAGGAATCAGTTCAAAAAGGATACTACCAATCCTTTCTGCCAACACAGTGACCCCAAAATGCCAAGAATTAATACACTACTCATTACTCCAAGCAGTAACAACAACAGCACATCAGCACAACAGAATTTAAAATAAAAGCCTGCAAGAATCTTGAAGTAGAGGGGGTAAGAGAGGGAATGGAAAGAATTTCCTAAAACCAGAGTGAAATAAAATGAATCTTTACTTCCAGAGAAACAAAAATATCCAGCTGCTGCCCATAATGTCTTGCTTCCCAGGCTCCTTGATAGACACACAAGAGCATCAAGGACACTAGTGACAATTGCTATGTAGTACCCAATAGGCCTGCTAGCAAGGCCAACAAGAAATGAGAAGGAAATAAAGATCTGTTCAAAGGCTGAGGAAAACAAGCAAGAGATACTACCTAAAACAGCACAAGGGCTTTTATGAATAAGAAACAGAAGGAGGAAGTATAAAGGGCTTCATCAAATTGAGTTATCAAAACATTTACTATACTTACCACGCTGGTCTTGCTGTACCTTAGTACTCAGATGCTCTCCTAGTTTCTAATATGCCAGGTGGCTACCCTGAGGACAGGCTAAAGCACTGAGAGTTAAGGCACCAGCTCTTCTGAATCAAAAATTAAATTAGTTTTTAAAATTAAATTCCTCACATTGTTTAATTTGACCCAAACTTCACCCTTCTTCTTGAACCTTTACACTGTCTGCATTCTTTGAAGGATATTTTAAGTGTTTGTGCCAGACCTACAAGACATGTTGATTTTTAAAGCTAACTTTAAAAAGTTATTTTCTAACTTTAAAAACTCAAGTTTTCTAATTTTAAAAAGTATTTTCATTTCCTCTCTCTTCCAGAACCAAGTTCTTCTTGCTTCTTAAAATAAATACATATATTTGTGTCCGATATATGGCACGAACGGCCATCCCTTACCTTCTCCCACAACAGATGTGGTATGATTACAATACACTGCACACTAAAAACACATTTGCCATCTGAATTCATAAATTCAGGTGGAGACACTAATCAAGTTCTATATAATGAAAATGCTCCCACCCATTTATTCTAGCAAAAACTTCAAGAGTACTGACAAGTGATTTGCAATTAAACCATTCAGTTCTCATTTAGTAAAAGGGTTCCAAGTGTCTTTGACAGTCGCACATCTTCATGATTACATCACATCACCGTGCTGTTAAAATGACTCAAAACCTCAGGAGTGTACCCCAAAAGGTCCCCTTTGGAGGCCCTGTGCTATGTTAAAACCACCACACTCAGCAGCCACTCAAAGTGCAAGGGAAGGCATGTTTCCACAGATGTTCTCTGCCCTAAGGTGCATGAGACTTTCTTGATAACATACTCCAAACAAACAGAATTATGAGCAGGGAATTATGAGCTGTTGCTCGCATACCTTTTTGTCAGTTTGAGGTATGCTTTGATAACCAATGACATGCAAGTTCAAAGCTCCCTTCAAGCCACTGTATTAAAGTGCAAGATGATTCTCCCCAACTCATTATAGTATAACATAGGAGTGTATACCTATATATATATGTACACACACACATACATATATGTTTGTAACAGAAAAAAAATGTATAGCAGAAACACCAAGAAACTCCCAATTTGTAATGGAGAATTAAGGTTTAATAAGCATCTACAGTAATGTCCTTAGACTTCCTCTGGCAGTTGTAGTTATCACAGTTATTATTAAATGATAAACAAGTGTGACCAATAAAACAATTGTTTTGTGTTTATTTATAATTGTTACATTTTCTTTCCTAACTCTTTGATAAATGACACACTAGAACTACAAATAGGTTTGACAAATCTTCAATACAGGCATCTAAAATCAGCAAGGTTTGATATTACTCTGTACAGAGGTCCTAATGATGTGAGCAAGGGCAAGACCATTTTTAGTTTCTATTAGATATTTTTTATCATAAGAAAGAACTCATTTATAGGCTACAAACAGGGAATCTTCCTAACAAATATTATCTCTGCTGAAGGTGTTAGCTAGGAACACTAACTTCTCAATAAATTAAATAGAACAAAGTCAGTACAAAAGCCTGGTTAGCACTGCACAAATGAAGCACCAGGAACTGCTTACAAGTGCTAAATACCCTTAATTTTTTATAGAATCATAGAGTTATTTGGGTTGGAAAAGATGGTTGCAAGATGTCCCATCCACAAAGTCTCTGGACTACCTGTTCCTGTGTCTCACCACCAGCGTAGTAATGAATCTCTTCCTTATATCTTGCATAAATCTATCCTCTTTTTGTCTCAAAATATTAGCCCTTGTTCTATCTCTGTAGGCCCCGGTAAAATGTCTCACCCCATCTTTCTCATAAATACTGAAAGGCAGCAGTAAGGTTTCTCTCATAAGGCAGATTGATAGTTCTACATTAAAGTTGCCTGACATTCCCTCTTATAAGCTCCATTTTTTAATTGCTTGGGAATCTAATTAATTGTTTGTAAGATTTTGAAGTGAGATTTTCTTCACATCCATTACATGTTCCTGACAACCTGTGAGAAACTAGACAAACTACAAATCTCAATTGGCATGGTTTCCTTACACTCAACAGAAGCAAAGTCCAAAGCTGCATTTCCAGAAGATGCATCTGCAGTGACTTCTACATACAGCCACAGGGCTTTTCCAGCTGCAGCTCTGGCCTGTCATGGGACAGCCCAGAGCAGATTTTGTTTAGCAACAGTAATGAATCCTTTTCCCTTGTTTTCAGACCCTTTCCACTGTTGCTGGATCCAAGCTTTGAATCTAAAGGGGACAAAATGATAGACTGAATAAATTAAGAGAAAGCAAAGAGTGAAAACTGTGACTGGGCACTGGCAGGAGAGCATGGACTAGAGCAGAACCAGATGAGAGAATGACTGATTAGTATTAGAGATCTGAGAAGAAAAACTCTGGAGATCACTAAAAGGAGATTAGATAAACAGCCACATGAGAAGACTGCAACTCACTAGACAAAGTGATAAAAAGCAGGCTATTAAATACCCATCCAGCAGTTTATAATGGTAAAACAAACAAAATAGCACTGAAAGTGAGACAGAAAGAGAGAGGGAGGGAGTCTGGAGGGATGGGCTATGACTTTCCTGGTGCTTAGCAAGGAGGCTGAGACTTAGATGAGAAATCTGTAAACAGTCTTAGGTGGGTGGATGACAAATAGAAACTGTGCTTCCAGTATGTGCTTTGAGCAATTTATGACAAAGATTCAAAACCAAGAGGCCCTTGATGTTGACTGAGACACTCAAAACTTCCCAGTGCATTGACCTTCATCTCTCTGTACTCTATTTTTCTCCTGTAAAATGGGAACAATACAGATGTCAACTCCCAGCTGTATTTCATGACCATCACTGAAAATCCTCAAAAAGAAAATTTTTTCAAAAGAACATCAAATAGAGTATATTCATAACATATTCACTCAACAGAGGAAAAAAAATTGAAACAGTTTTATCACTTGGAGCCAATAAGGCCAATGGTATCCTGGGGTAAGAAGAGCGTTGCCAGGAGGTTGAGGGAAGTGATCCTTCTCAGCCCTGTTGAGGCCTCAACTGGAGTGCTGTGCCCAGCTCTGGGATCCTCAGGCTAAGACACAGATCTCCTGGAATGGGTCCAGTAGAGAGTGTCAAAGGTGACTAGGACACTGGAGCACCTCTCTTATGAGGAAAGGCTGGGGTAGCTGGGCCTGTTCAGCCTCAAGAAGAGATGACTGAAAGGGGAACTCATCAATGTCTATCAATATCTGAAGGGACAATGCCAGTGGAATGGAGCCAGGCTCTTTTCAGTTGGAGGTTGGACCAGATGACTTTCTGTGGTCCCTTGCAAGCTTACCCATTCTGAAATTCCATGATTCTGTGACATTATAACAGGGATGAGTAAGAAACCTGGAATGCTCAACACACTATGCTATGAGTCGGCTGGAGTAATGCATTCACGCAAAACGCTCCTCGCCCCAGCCGGCGTGACCCAGAACAATCCTGCTCCGCACCACCTGCAGTGGTGGCCGCTCAACCAGCGTTCCTCGGCTGTAGTGGGCAGCAAGCTGGTAGCAGCGCACCTGCCGTAGGCAGGGCCCCCACCAGCAGGCTCGGGGCCGTAAGTGGAGGAGGCGCAGCTCGGGGGGGGCGAAGCGCCGGGTGCGCCGGGACCTGCTCCGCCCCGGCACCGGCCGAGCGGGACGTGAGGCGACGCGTAGCACCAACCGCCTGCCCGCGAGGGCTGCGGGGCACCGCCATTTTGCGGGGCGGCGAGAGGCCCCACTGGCCAGACCCACCCCCCATTTCAGGGACAGCCCCGCCACCCTTCGCCGGGGACGGGCCGGGCCCGACCCGACCGGGCCCCGCCCGCCGTCTGGCTGGTCTCAGTCCTGGCCGCGCCTTCCGCCCTTCGCCGCTCAGGTATCAGGTGAAACTGGTCGGCAGTGCAGGCGAAGCGGTGGTGGCTGGAGCGCGGCGAGAGGATGGCTGTCCGTCGCGGCTTGTGTCTGCTGCTGGTCTCTGCGATGCTGGGAGCCGCCGCCGCTGCAGGTGAGATGAGCAGCGGCTGACGGGGACCGAAGCCGTCCGCCCGGCTGGGACCAGCGGGGGCGGCCCATCCCATTGAGGGTGCCGTGCTGGCCGCCCCTCAGCTGCGGGAGAGATGCGGACGGGGGCACAGCGGGGCTGGTGTCTGGACCCGGCTGGGATGCGAGGACCCCGGAGCGGACTGGGAGACGTTCCCGCGGAGTCGAGCGGGTTAGGAAAACTCGGGCGGGTGGCAGTGGGGCTGCCGGGAGCCGCGGGACGGGCTCCTCGACGGTGGGGAAAGCGCTCCACGGGCGAGCAGCTGGGCGCGGCTCCCTCCCGGCCCCCGCAGGGCTTGTGGGGCGCGCGGGGCTTGGCTTCACCCGCTGTAAAGAGAACCGCAGGATGGCCTGGGTTGGAAGGGACCGTAAAGACGTCTAGTTCCAAACCACCTGCCATGGACAGGGTCATCTTCCAGTAGACCAGGCTGTTTAAAGCCCCATCCAACCTGGCCTTGAACACTGCCAGGGATGGGACATCCACAACTTCTCTGGGCAACCTGTTCCAGTGCCTCACCACCTTCACAGTGAAGAATTTCTTCCTACTATTCAGTGTAAATTCTCTTTAAACTCTCTTTCAGTTTAAAGCCATTCCCCCTGGTTCTGTCACTACAGCCTCTTATAGCCCCTCCTTTAGATAAACAAAAAAACTATAAAGACCATGTTTTTGCTTTTTACCCAGCTCTAAAAAGCTACGATTTTTTTTTCTTTATTAGTCTATATTGAACGTAAGTGCTATTTGGGGAAAAACCAAACCACCATATTAATATTTCACTGCCATAAAGTTAATTTTTCACCACCTTTTATAATAAACTCCACTGCCATATCTACATATGCCCTTTGCACTGTGTCTTTCTGTTCTTTATTCTGGGCTTATTTACATAATAAAAGCATATGCGTAAAGGTTGTGTTAATACTGAAGCCAAGCGAATGATAGGTCCTGTTTTCTCAAGGTATAGATTCTAGGTTTGTGTTTTTCAGAACGGGGTTCCTGAATCTAAACTGCATTATAATAGCCTAGTTCTCTGATCTGGGTGGGGTGAGGAGTTTGGAATTTTCGGAGGAGAGGGGAGAGGGAAAAGAAGTATGCTTAGGAGTTCTAGCTGGGTACTTGATTTCCTGGAGTAGGGAGGTGAAATGAGGTGAAGTGTGATCCCACCCCAGCCAAGGGAGATGTACTAAGCCAGAAGCTTATTGCGGCAGTTTTCAAACAGGCTGATGCCATTGCGGAGTTGTGGCGAATCTGGGTTGCAGATCCAAAACCCGGGGTCATCTTAACCTTAGTCCTGTGTGGTTATTACTACCATGACCTAAGCTAGATTATTTTTGGATACTCAGTGCTGCTGTCGCTTTTGTGTCTGCAGGGTAGCCATAATCCTGCGTTTGGTATGTAGTGGATTATATCCTCTGGACAAATGGCAAAGGTGTTGAAACAGTCTTTTGTGGGAGGAGAGTACGCTTTTCCCGTGGGCAGATTAGCAAATCAACTGCATTCTCTGTGTTTGAGTCAAGCACGGTGAAATTCGGCTTGGAAAAGAGCTCTATTGTTATGGAAAACGACAAGTGCTGAAAGAGTAAGGAAGGGATGTAGAAAATGCGCATACCTAACAAAGGATTGGCTGTTCGGTGAGGGAGTGTTAACAGCAAAGAAACAGGACACTGTCTCCCTATTGGTAGTTGGGCTGACAAAAGCTGACCACTGTCTGTAGTCAGAACTTTTGAGGCTCGAACTAAAGTCAGCATAAAATCAAGACTTGATCTTGGAAGTCACCCGTTTAGTTTGACTCTGTCTTAAAAAATAGAATAAAACAAACCTTTGTCTCTCTTCTGCTACCCTTGCAATCCTAAGTCCTGTCTGTGGTTCATGTATCTATCCATCCATTCACTTTAGTACAGTTCTTACTGTAGTGTATAACACTAACTAACTTTGGGGTTTTTGGTGAGCTTTTTTTTTTTTTTAACCTAACCTTTGAACATCAATTGCAAAGCCTTGTTTTGTATCTGATCACAAAACATTAATAAGAACAAAGTGGTAGTATTTACTCTTTAGTTTTCTACAATAATTTGAGTCTTTGGAATGGAATACAAATAGTGTGACTGCAATTTGATAAAATCGACCACTTTCTGATGGACATGTGCTTAACATAGCATTGTACACTGCATTTTATTATGGTACCCTGAGAACTACTACCAGCTTGGAATAAAGGGTCTGTTTCCAAGCATCTCCACGATCTTTCTCAACTGAACTGTAAGGCTGAGAAAAGTGGCATTGCTTAGCTAGTTATCATTTCAGTGTCTGATATCTGCATAAGCTATGTCCTTCAAGCTGGTTTTATGGCTTCTCCTATTCACAGCTCAGGTTAGGGACCTGGGATATTGCTGCATTACACAATTAAACTTTCCAGTCTTTAACAGTATTGCTGGAGTAATCAAGGAGCTTGAAGGTCTGAGAGCAGGATTTATATAATTCTGCCTTGTTTTAATTACACTGCATATAGACCAAAATGACTGTTTGGCAGTTGAATTAATTTTCTTTAGGACAGTTGTTTAGTCAGTGTTCATGAAGTCTACTGGAAAGACTTGACTATGTCATTGTACTGGCAAAAAGTTTTCTTACACCTCAGTTTTCCAGTGAGGACTGCCTGGTCCTGGAGATTGGCAAATGCTGAAGTGGATCTAGGGTAACTTAATTCAAATGTCTAAAGAACATCAATATATACTGTACATCAGACTTTTGCAGTTATAACTGAAAAGAAACAGCAATCCAAAGTTGGGCTACTTCTGAGAATCTATGCTGGGAAACACACATACCTGTGTATTTACATATTTCTTAAGTAAAACTTCTTTCAAATTTAAGGCATTTTTTCAGTGTGGAACTGTATCAAAATTCTACTGAATAACAAAGAGGTTATCCTTGAACACTTTTCATGGCTGTGCACTCTTCAGGTACACAAACCTGCTTTGCTCAAGAAGACTCTCCTTTATAACTCCAGCTGGGGAGAGGGGGAGGGAATTTTGGCCAAACAAATCCACAAATATTGAGAGAAACTGAGTTAAGGTTAAAAATAATTCTCCCCAAAACAGTCAATTTCCGTGTCCATGCAGTTTAGCTCAATGGATGTCTGACTTTTTGGAATGGTGTGAGTTCAAGGACACTGTCTGCTTCTGCCGTTTAACCTGTCAGCAGGAGAGGGCTGTATTGTGTCTGGAGGGGTTTTGAACTGGGCTGTCAGAAGGCTGTCCTATAAAACACAGCAGTCAGGAACACCTGGCTCGCCCATATGGTTTGTAAGTTCCCATGGCATTCAAAGAGGCAGAGCAAAACTTGTAGTACAGCTGTCTTATGTATGAAACAACCATAGCTGTCAGCTCTGCCACCTGGCACTTTGAGTAGAAATTGCAGAGATTGTCTGACCGTCTTGCCTGTGAATTGGAAGGAGATCCCAGATGACTGGCCCTATTGCATCTTCATGCACAGAGTTAGTATGTTCACGTTTCAGTTCAGATACACTAAAATATGCATTTTTCCCTATACTTGTGCATTGCTTTGGGTATTAATTCTGAGTTTCAGTTCTAGCTTGCTGAAGGTAACACTCTTGTTTTACTGCATACCTGATTTTCAGGCCATCTAAACTGGGGAAGCTTCTGTTGCAATTATGTTAGCCTGCTGCAAAGTTTTATAAATCCCACCACTCGGGTAATCTGGCACTGCTATATGGAAAGCTAATGGTGCCCTGGGGTACTTCAAGTACTTTCTGCTGTAACTGTTCAGGTGGTAGGAGCACCTGATAGCCCATTTAACGAGGTATTTTTAATATCACTGGTGACATGGAAAAGCATATTGGTAGAATACTTGAATAAGGATACAGGTTGTCTTTTGGATAATAAAACAAAGGAAAAATAAATTGTCAAATGCTTGAAAATTGGTCTTAATTTTTCTGTTGATAAAGCCATCTTTAAATGTTCTGAGTAAATCACTATATCTAGTTTATTTTTTAAGAGAACAAAAAGTCTGTACTTCAGTAACAGCAATGTCTTATTTTTTTAATTTTAGAGAACAGTGGAGCCAGCAGTTCAAAAGGAAGAAGTTTTGCTGGTCAAAAAGTTACAAATGCAAATAATTCTGAAGAGTCATACAAAGTGGATGAATTTGCAGCAGAAGTCCTCAGAGGAAAGCTGACTACAGTTTTTCTTCCCATTGTCTATATCTTTGTCTTTATAGTTGGTTTGCCAAGCAATGCTGTGGCCCTCTGGGTCTTTTTTTTCCGAACAAAGAAGAAACATCCAGCTGTGATTTATATGGTTAACTTGGCATTGGCAGACCTTCTTTTTATTGTCTGGTTTCCACTGAAGATTGCATACCATCTGAATGGCAATAACTGGCTATTTGGTGAAGGTCTCTGCAAAGTACTTGTTGGATTTTTCTATGGAAATATGTACTGTTCCATTCTCTTTATTACATGTCTCGGTGTACAACGGTATTGCGTTGTAGTGAACCCCATGGCGCATTCAAAAAAGAAAGCAGAAATTGCCTTGGGCGTCTCCATTGCTATTTGGGTACTGATTTTGTTGGGCACCATTCCATTGTATCTCGTTAATCAGACGGTATATATTTCAAATCTTAACATCACTACCTGCCATGATGTGTTGCCTTATAATGTTTTGGCTCATGATATGTTCAGTTATTTCCTCTCACTTGCAATTGGATTCTTCTTAATCCCAGCTATCGTCACTGCTGTCGCATACATACTAATGATTAAGACTCTGAGTACCTCCGTCATAGAAGATGGCAAGAAACGAATAAGAGCAATCAAACTCATTATTGTTGTCCTGTCCATGTATCTCATCTGTTTTACACCTAGCAATGTGCTGATTATTGTGCACTATTTGCTCCTCAAAGGCTACGGCCAGAGCTATATGTATGCGTGGTACATAATTACGCTGTGTCTTTCCACTTTGAACAGTTGTATTGACCCATTCATCTATTATTATATTTCAAAAGACTTTAGAGACAACCTTAAATATGCTCTTATTTGCCGAACCGTACGAGCAACACGGAGGATGCAAGTGTCTCTCTCATCAGGCAGATACCCCAAGAAATCAGATTCTTACTCTTCAAACCTAAGTAGGACCAATAAATCAACCTACTGAGTTTAATCTTAGAAAAGTGAACTTTTAATAGTACTGATGAAAGGATGTGAGTCACAATAGAATTATTTTGTACAAGAGAGTCTGAAGAAACGTTTCTGCATTTTAATTACATTGAAGACTGGGGAAAAAAAAGGCATTTCAGATGCTCTGCGAAAATGCTGCTGACCTAGAAGTGAATTGTGGTTGAAGACATTCTCATTCAATATAAAAGTTTTTAAAAAGCAAAATGTCTCTGGAATGTTATGTAGTGTATTTCATTAACAGATAAATCTGTTTTGTTTAATGTATTAAGCAGCTTTTAATGTATTAAGCAGCTGAACAGATTGTGTTTGTAGGACCTTGCTCTGTGTACCTGCTTACACTGAAAATCATTTGAAGCTGTAGAGAGAAGAAAGAAGAGGAGAATCCATTTCACCATCTTGGTGTAGACTGCTTATTATCTTTAGTATAATGTAATTTTTATATTGTTTTCCAAGTTACAGTGCTGTAAATACTAACAGTGCAGAACCTTATAATGTTACCCTGTTGAGTTGATGAGCTGAACTGGTTATCAGCTAGCACTGGGATAAAATGTTAGTTGAGATTATCCACTGTTACTTAACACTTGCCAGTGCACAATCTAAATGGGGATATGTAGCAAAATGTTGATTAATAGCAGTTTGATTTTATGTAATATGTCTTGTATTTTTTAAGATATCTAAATAAGATTTTTTATAACACATTTGAGTTGGATGCTTTCTTTTATTCTTTTACATGCACTTCAGAATGTTGAGTAGTTTGACTTGCCTGGCTTCATGTAACTAAGATATTATTCCTAACAGTGAATTAGAAACATGACAACTGTAATTGTAATGTCTAAATGGGTAAACTCAAATTTCCCTAATGATGCATTTCTTTAGAGAACCATGAAAGTAGTATGTTTTGTGATGGTATTTCAGAGGACTAAGCTAAAATAGCAATGTGTATTAGCTTATGTCTCATTGAGGAGCAGAGAGTTTACAGCTCTTAAGGTGACATAGAACACAAATGCTTCTTGGACATAAACAGTTTTCTCTTCTGGTTTCCTGACAAATACAAGGAAATAACTGTGTATTTATTACTGAACTGAAGGTATTATGCAGCATCCTTACTGGAAGATAACTACATAAGAGGCCATAGTTTACTGGAAGGATTTGGGATGAAGAGAGTTGCACCAGCTTCACAGAAGGCTGTGTGAACTCTTCCCTCACACTGTGTGTGATAAACAGAATATCAGAATGTCCCTTATCTTGTCAAACAGCCTGCTCCATATATGGTAGTCAGTAACATGAAGAAAGAGCATCCAGTTCATGTTATTACAGCCCTACATGTGCTCTGTTAGGAATCCAAGGGTTACAGGTTGTAAAGATGAGAAATTATCTCTGTATGTCTATATAATACCACAAAGAGATTGCTTATGATTCATGGATGACTGTTAAATGTCTAAAAAGTAATATGCTTAATATAGCCAGTCTTTTGGGGGACAAGATTTATTTCTTGTCATTATTTAATCAGAAGTGCAACAAGCACTGTTTATATATCTATACTCTCACTGTTTCATTCCTGTCAAACAATCAGACAACTCCATTGCAGATCATGTGAAGGAGAGTGCTGATGTTCTTGACCATTTCTCCCTATAGCCTTCATCTGCAGATCAGCAAAGCAGGTTGCCAGGAAGAATCTTTCTTGCCTGCAGCAACAGTGAAGGTACATGACTAAGACTTAGATGGTACTACAGTCTGTTGGAAGCTTTTTGCGAAAAAAGTTTTAATTAATACAGTGATTTATTTTAAAATGAGGTTGTACAACGTGTGACAAATTTTGGAGAATACTACTCAAGGAGCCCACAGTCATTTAAGTGAAGGTTTCCCCCTATTAGCTACATTGCAAATCCCTATCCTGAATTTAGCACAAATTATTTTGGTCCAATTAACAGAGCAGGTAGACCAGGCTGGTTGTTCACTCAATTTGAATCAGTTCCTTCAATTGAAAATTGTGTGCCTACACAGCCAGATAGCGATGGGGTAAGAACATGCCTGGGAACATGGAGCTGGTTGATAAAACCTTTTTTGGGACAGTTGTACCCTTGGACAGGGTTGTTTGGTGTCAAGGTGATCATCCTCAGCTTACAATAAATATATTCTTGAACGGTGCCAACTTTGCAATTCAGACACCAAGAGTTACAAAAAGCTCTCCCTTCCTGTGGCTGACTGAAGCATTGGATGCTAAAAAAAAAAGAAAATAAATCAGTGCAACATCTGTGAAAGCATCCAGGAATTGGAAATCAGTGTGCACGGTGTCAAGGTTTCACAAGCAACTCAAGTACATGCTGCAGCTAAGAGAAGTGGAATTAGTTTCCCCCTAACCTGGCTGTGTGATCACACTGTTCTCTTATAGTGTCACAAACGCATGACCTTGGGATAGATTGGATCATTTCTGAGTTAAAGTTAAACCAGGAGGAGGGAGGAAAGTTTACTTCTGACTTGAAACAGCGTTTGGCTGGTTTGCTTGGTGAGCTTTTGGCTCAGCACAAGGGAGAGGCTCAGACTGTTTTGTTTCACCACCAACACAGGCTTGCACTGTGCAGGTGCAAGGCAAATTGAAGTACAGTTGCTGCAAAGCCTCTACCTAACCTCCTAAGCAGCTGGGAGCAAGCTTCCACCCATGACTGTAAGAATGGCTCTGCTCAGGCTGAGGGTGCATCCAGCTCAGCCAGAGTAATCTTCACACCTATGCCTCTGAAGGTCAGGAAGACAGCAAGGTGTGAAGGGACATGTCAAAAAACCAGTAGGACTTCTGCACAAGGCACCTGGCTGGCATACCAGCTGCATAGATGTGGCCAGCACAATTTAAGTGCTGTGCTATGGGACAGTAGAAATGTGCTCTGAAGTTCAGGAAAACAGGAGTCAAAGGCTGGAGAGCTGAGCTCATTGTCATCTGTAAGAAAACCTGCTGCCGAGAAGGACTGATCTGTGACAAAGAGTGTGCATAACAGCAAAAGAAGTTGGACGCAGGTACCCAGGCAGGAGTGAAAACAGTGCAGCCACGTATCACATCCCACATGATACTCTCCCAACATACACCTATTTTCAGCATAACAATTTCCTTAAGTCCCATTTGGATGGTCTACTTAGTAGTGCCTGTTGGGCATCTTGTCAACTTCAGTTTATTCACTTTGAATCAGAATCCACAATCTTCATTTGGTGGCCCCTCATTCCTAAAGCAGACGAGAGTGTGAATGAGTCCCTAACTGTCTTGTCCATCCACTTGAAATTTTGTAAGGCAGTATCATATCCCCTCTCAGGTACTTTCCACATTGATGTGTCCTAGCCAATTCCTTTCAGGTCAACCACTCTCAGTGATAGTCTGGTCTCCATTCTGAGACCTACCCGTTTCCATACAGAGTCTCCAAACTATACACAACATTCAAGCTGTGGATGGTACAGTGATGGCTTCTGTTTTGCTCCGTGTTGCTTCCGTAATAACCTCTAATATTCAATGTTTGCTTTATTTTTTTTCTCCTGCTCCTTGGCATTGAGTTGATGTTTTCGTGCTTGTAACTACATCCCTCTCTCAATTGGTTACAGTAATTTTACAAGCCATGGTTCTGTATGCCAAGTTAGGATGTTAACAGCAAACTTTTGTTCAACAGTGCTCAACCCTCTTCAGGCCATTTATGAATGTGCAGAACAGTACAGGTCTGGCACCACACTGGTGAGTAATTTGAATTGTGAAGACTGACTGGTTTTCTGCTACTGTGTATTTCTTCCCTTTTAAGCAGTTACTTTTACACAAGAGGACCTTCCCTCTTATTCCATGGCTACCTAGTTTTCTTTGAAAGCCTTTGATCAGAAATTTTGCCAAAAACTTTTTGGAAGTCCAAGTAGACTGTATATGCTGGATCAACCTTGTTTCCACTTCTGTTTGACCTCTTCCAAGAACTCCACAGAGTTGTTAAGCCCAGACTTCTCTTTATAAAAGCAGTGGTGGCTTTTCCCCAAAAGGTCCAGAAGTTCCTTACCGATGTCCCTTCTTAGACTCTTCACTAATTGCTCAGTACAGACATTGAGATCTTGGAACTGTATTTCCCTGGACACCTCAGTACCTGCTTTTAATTGTTGATTACAGCATTGGTTCCCAGTATTCAAGTATAATTTTGGCAAGAGATAACACACTTCTGTTACTAATTCAGCTGTTTTGTCCCAGTTTTCTCAGAACTTGAATACCGCCTGGCCCACTAAGTTTAGCACTCATTTTATCTGACTGCGGTGTGGTGACTGAAGACATTTAACACATTGTGTTGATGTGTAGTTGTCTGGGAATCAAGCAGCCTGCCTGCCTACCATAACAGCTATTTGGGACCCAGCTTTCATTACGTGTGCATTTGATCTGTCATAGGCCCTTTGAACACAGTTAATAAACAGCATCACAGTTAAATACAGCATGAACATAGTAGTGATTCAACAGCCAGGAGTTTTACCTATGCGTTTTTTCTCAGGAGTGATAACCTTCTTTAGGCTTGCAGGTAGACATTCTCCAAGCACTATTTGCTAGCAGGACCAGTACAACAGGCTGACTACATAGTCAGCTCTCTGTCATCTAGGTCAAAGGAGGTGGAGATGCTTCAGATAATGGAGAAAAGACTGGTGATTGTGAAGGGTGCATGGAATGCTGTGCAGAGGTACTGTGACAACTCCCTTTGATCCATAAGGAGTTACTGATCCAGTGGTAGCTTTTGTGACTTGGACTTTTCAGTCACTGAAGTGTGTCTGAAACCAGCCTCCCTGGTGGTCCAGCCAGCTCCTTGGTTGCCAGGAAAAAGGGAAAAGGTGTGTCTGTGTGTACATGGAGTAGGTAGGTTCACAGCTGCACTGGAATTCAAAAACCACCTGGGATTGCTTCTGTGGTGCAAACACCAGAACAGAGCTCAACAGTACCAAGATCTACCTGGTATTATCTGTGACTCTGTCAGACCCAAGCTCCAGTGTCAATGCTTCAATATCGATGCAGCATTCCAAATGCAGAGATAGCTAAAATGTGTTCACTCCCATCTCTCTGGATACTGTGCTTTCCTGTGCCAGCTGTTGAATGCTGTGTGCAACTTGTGCCAGCTTAATGCTCACCTGAATATTGTGTTTTGCCAGAGCGTAAGAGCATCCACAGGAGAGAAGTAGTGAAATCTCTGATCACCAGAGCCTTAGTGTAGCTGTAACCCAGAGACTGCACCTTTCTCATAAAACCTGCTACATCTGGTTTGTGGGGTTATTATGGTGGTGTAAAGCAGAGTCCTGCTGCTAAAGTTCTGTCTGCATTTGGAGTGCTTCTCCAGTGCAGTCGGGTGGTTGGAGACATGGACAAAGCCTTGTTCCTTTGTTTTGAAGGTGTTAATAATATGCAGTAAAGAGTGTTAATGGGCACTTGTATAATGAAGCAAGACAACAAAATGTGGGAGGAGAAGAAAAGTCTAAATTTGACTAGTCTAATTGTGGAAGTTAGGAGAAATGCCCCAATAACAACTCTCAGCTCTATCAGTAAGTCACCTCTAGTTATTACAGCTCCCATGATGTGTCAGTTAATGCAGACAGCTCTGTGGAAACAGTGGACAAAAGTTGTCTGTATATTATGGCAGTTCTAAAAATCAATGTTTAGTAATTCTTAAGGCAGGATTTTAATTGGCAAAACCTTGTCTGCATCAAGTGGCAA